CATATATATATATGAATATAAGTATATATATATATATATATAATTATACATATATATATATATATACATTTATATATATATATATATTTATACAAACATAGATATATATAAATACATATATACATCTATATACATACACATATATATATATACATACATACATACATACATACATACATATATATATATATTTATATATCGCATGATGCGATGATCGCTACAATTAGACCTATTTAATAGTCATAGTTTTAATTTGGTGCTTGATATCTGCGTCTTCAAGTTAGCCAGATTGATATTGATCACCTATTGACTTTATATAGTAGTAGAAATAACACTGAGACATTCAATACGATAGAATTTTTTTTGTTGATATCCGGTATCAAACTTAATTTCTTTCCAAGTCCCACAAGTCCTCTACCTTGTTCGGTCCGGTTGTGTGCAATAGCAAATCCTTCGGTAATACCCGGATGCCATGAATAGACTATGATGCTGTAAATACCGTTATTGTGGGCTAAATGGACTGGCGCTCGCAACTTTTGCCTGATTTTGTGCATTCTGCAAGTGTAACACAAACTTATCAAAGCTATTCATACTAGCTGTTTCCAATTCCTTTGGTTCCACCACACACCTCCAAATAGGCTGCTTGGTGGCTGTAAACTTACTCACCACCCATATGCCTTCACTCGCATACCCACACTTGTCGCCTCGGCCATTCCTCGCATATAGTACTGTGTGCATGATCATTACATGTGCGCCCGTCTCTCTGTGTGTGAACTGTACACCCCTTGTTGAGGTTGCTGGCAAGCCATGAGGTATCTGCATAAGCATACCCTTTTGCGTTAGCTCGAGGAGCCCACCTATTCGCTTGGCTGCTTGTTCGTATATCTCCTCCACACACATGGGAAAGTCCACAGTTCGCACCTTTCCCCCGACCGCATGAGCGAATTTGTTCCTAGCATCTGGCGCCTGATCTATATAGGCTCGAACCTCGGGCGCGAGCTCTTCAATCGACTCCTCGTCGGCTTCAGAGTCACCCGAGTAATCATCTCCAGCCAGCTTCATCAGTTCAATATCCAGTATAGATCTTTCATTTGCATTCAACGTATCCAATCCCTTATTATTGGCCCTGTTTTCATTGTTTGCGCCCACTTTCGAGTCAGAATAATGTGATGAGTCTGTACCACTGGCTGGTATCGAGTTGCTGTTCTGTGGCATATTGTTCACCTTCGTGCACTCAGTTACAGATGGTTGTTGACACAAAACTTGTTTTGGTTCGATAGCCATTCTTTGGGCGAACTAATTATATATCTCGGGGGGGGTAAAAAGAGAGTTTTCGGTGTTGTTATTTGGCGTATTATTTAAATGAAGTACGAAACAGACGAAGTTATGAACGTTTAGGAAATGGAATGTAACAATTTGTAGTAAAATCATTTCCCTCTCAGGATTTGTCTCGAGCAAGTTCGTCGCACATCGTAAAGTGTCAATTTTAGTGCTGTACATGCCTTTCAAGGCCCTCTCTCTGCTGGCTGGGGATGAGTCTGCGTGGAAAAGTTGCATCTGTCTCGGAGAGAAAGTCATTCTTCGAGACTTTTTGATCCCCAGAGGGCAGGGCTCATAACGTAACCCAAATACAGCGTAGAGGTATTACGTTTTAACATTTACGCATTGAATATAAACGTATATACATAATACACTTTCGTCTATGAGCACCACAGTTTGCATATGGACGAAAGGCTCATAGCGTAACGTACTACGTTTTCACGTTTGCGAAATGACTTTAAACATAATTACGTTTTACGTTATAATACCTGCCAGAGGGTCATGATATTTACATATGCCCAGGGCCCTGGCGGCCCTGAACTTCTGAAGGCCCGAAGGCTGAAGTCCTGATCTTCCAAGAGACCGAAGTCCAAAGCGGAAGGCGAAAGGCTGACAGCAGCAGCTGTGAGTACCGGAGTACAAACTACAAGGCCCAAGGGCAAAGGGTCAGAGTCTCAGCCACTCAGAGAAGTGAGAACTAAGTCCTAAGAAAGGCGTTGGCGGTTGGCCGTTGAGGACTAGAGGCCGAGTCGCCGAGTCGCCGGTCGTGCTAAAATTAAATAAAATTCCTACCATGAGTATGGATTTAATTGGTCAGTGGAGCCTGGAGCCTTTACTCTCTAGTAGAGACTCCTGGACTCCTGGAGGGTGGATTGGTGGAATCGATCACAAGAGAAGGTTACAAGTAGCTTACAGCTTTCAAAAACAATAAACTCTAAAACATTATCCAATCATAATATAGAACTACTTTGTTTAATTTAGCAACACCAATAAATAGCTTTCATCAATAAAGTATATTTTTTCCGACGAATGATATGGTGTTCACGTGGATCGGGAGCTCAAGGAATTACTATGTACAGTACACTGTTTACTGACTGCTTGGGCATCGCTTCTTGTTGCTGTAGTACATGTACAATATGCTGTTTTAAATTTGTTTTGTATTTTATGAAAAAAAAGATCTTCTCGATCAGGGGTTCACTAGTGGTGCAATCGTAAATACATCTACATATTTCTACCTTGTGTAGAGCTTATCTTTTCAATCAGGTTGTGCATACTATACACACTTCTACCTTGTGTAGCGTGGTAATCGTAAAATCCGATTACCATATTTGGGCAGAACACAGAATGTCAGTTTTCCATATGTGTTCGATATGCAGTTAAACCATGATATGGTATACAAGCATGTTGCTTGATACCCGAATTGGTAGGTGTACTGGTAGTTGTGACACTGTTCTAGTCGTGCCAATATGACAGTGTACGCCATATTGTGCTACTTGAGTTATGCACATCATATGGAGTGTTGTTGAACTTAGAACTTGTAAACTTTACACCGGCTTAGTTTTATCGACAAGTCTACACATCGAGCACCAAACATCGTGTTTGTGTAACTTTCCGGGAACAGAGCTCGTGATAAATTGTATTCAAAATGATATCTTCTAATTTGAAATAAAACTATCAGATCAGCAATAGACGGTAGGTCTGAAGAATAAATGTATACAAAAGCTACATATGCATATACACATACACACACACACACACACACATACATACGCACACAAACACACACCCACTTATGCTTAAATACATACGAATACGTACACACGCACATACATACATACATACATACATCATTTACTATACATACATATATATATATATATA